GCGCTATTGGAGTCAAACTTCGCTATGCCAGCAACTACGAGTATGCCGGCGCCAATACAGCAACATCAGCCGCATCGTTTCAACAGGGTGCACGCAGTGGAAGTCGATGGAGACATGGAAGAAGAATCGTCCGCAGATCCGGAGGAAGAGAGTTGGCAGTACAAGATCGATGAGCTTATGGAGCAGGTGAACGCTCTCAGGATGAACTTGGAACAGAAGAGTTTCAGACCAAATGAGGTAGCTCAAAACCAGCGACAGCCGCGATTCGTGAAAAGATCAAACCGAACGGGACCAGATAATGTGCAGCAAGCTCGTCAACAGCACAGTAGCTTGCCACCGATGCCAGTTCAGCAACAGCAACGTCCGCAGAACGCGCCACAACCGATGCCACGAAAGCAGCAACAGGCAGACCGCCAGCAGAGTGCACAAGACTGGCACACGCAGCATTGGAACCAGCAGCAGGCACGGGAACAAACCGCGGAAGCACCAAGAAGAAGTGATCTGCAGCAGCAAGACCGATCACCACGAGCGGAACATCAGAGTGATCAACAGCAAGCATCAGCAAGCCATCAACGGTTGGTGATGATCTGCTGGAATTGTAACGAAGAAGGACACAGGTTCATGGACTGTCCGAAGCCGCAGGCAGTGTTGTTTTGCTACCGCTGTGGACGGAAAGGATATTCACTGCGCAGCTGCTTTACATGCCGTTCAGACGCGGTAAACTACGCGGCGGGGAACATGCAATAGAGGAAAGCAGCTCTCCGCAAACTCTCGAACACCCCTCAGAAATTCTAGAGTTCGAGAGCCTCAACTCAGTAATAACCAACCCCGGAAGTGACAATCGACCGCACGCTGTAATATCGGTATTAGGAAAGGAGTTAACTGCATTGCTGGATAGCGGAGCTAACTGTTCGCTGCTTGGGGGTAAATGGACCCAGCTAGCAAAGGAATACGGTTTGCAGAAGGGAAGCGTGAATGGAGGAATCAAGACAGCGGATGGAACACGACACAATATCAGCGAGTTTGTCTACCTCCCAATAGTCTACAACAACCGAAACGAAGTTCTCCCGGTTCTGTTAGTGCCATCAATCCCAGACTGCATCATCTTGGGAATGAACTTTTGGGACAAATCCGGAGTGAAGGCAGTTTGTTGTTCGGTCGAAGCAGAAGACACGGATGAGATATGCAGTGAAGATCCAGAAATGAAGGAGCTGACGTCAGAGCAGAATAGGCAGTTGGAGAGAACAGTAGCAAAGTTTCCGAGGGCGCAGGATGGCAAGCTGGGACGCACAACCATGTACGAACATCGCATCGAGATAGGAGACGCAGTACCAAGGAAGCAACGGCACTATCCGATGTCGCCATACGTTCTTCAGGAGGTCAACCGGGAAATCGATCGAATGACAGCCATAGAACCGCTCGTGAACGAAATGCCCATCTCTAATTTGAAATGCATCGCAGCAGTCTGAAGGTAACTGCGATTTGTCTTCGCCAGACCTACACCGATAGAAATCTCCTTATACCTTTTGGCAAATTTCTATTGCTGATTATTCATAAAATGTATAAGTCAACTAACAAGCAGACTCCTTGCAAAAAGTTAATGAAGATCATGTGTCAAATGAAAGGTATAAGCGGTCACACATAACTTTTATGCATTCTTGTAGGACCTATGTGGTTTGTCTTATGGAATGGCTGATGTTTTGGCAAAATTATATTAGTGAAATACATGGATAAAATAATTGATTTTCGTTTCGTGTAGGTTTAAAAAATTAATATCAAATTTTACGACGGAATGATCAACATAAACAACAATAAAAAATGAAAATCCGCAACGTGTCCCCCACCCTTGTTCTTTCCAAACAAGACAGACGAGGGTGCCGCGTAGTCGACGGCTGAAAAGTTATTCTAAACTGTTCCCCTGGCTTGCAGAAGGAACAAAAGAAAGCTTTAAATCTTTCTCCCTGCTTCGTTAATGCACTAGACGGGGCCGTTAATTAGCACTTGATGGCCATGCTCCGCTGCTCGTGCGTTCTCGCCCCGCGCTGTCAAAGAAAGTATAAAAGCATCAACGGTGTATAGAACCATCAACAACACCATTTCTCTCAAGAGCCTTTCACACCGACAGACTACCGCGGCGATGGAGGCAACCCGAGAGTAGTCTATTAATAACATCCTTTCGACTTACTTCCCTAACGAGGTGATTTGCCATCTTTGTTCAACGTCGGTATTTTTTTCAGTGTCTTCACCACTGGTCACTGGAAGAAGGAGGTCTCTTGATTGTCGGAGATAAAGATTAATAGGGGAGAAAATGGACCTTTATGTTTGTGCTTTCGACCTCCGAAAATAGCTGGAAAATTGCTACAAATTGAAAAGGGAGTAATTCCAGCAAGCACTTCATTTTTCATCACAGTCAGTTAGAATTGGGTCGAGTGATAAATTAGCTTGGGTGTCCTCGTTTTATGAGCAATTTTCCCGTCATCCCTGCCCGGAGTTCTCAACTCGCATTAGCATTCGAAAGCATGAGCTTGTTTAGCCGAGCTTCTTTACATAACATTTCGAAACTTGATATATGCTCTGAGCTGGAGCCCATGTGTGCGACGGGGGGCTGCCATGTTTATAATTAAGTTAATTTTGCGGAGAAAAATTCTGGGAGAGCAGCCACTTAATTAGCGCTAAGCACGAAAACAAATACACGCAGTCTCCGCGGTTAGTCGTGTGTACACTTGGGAAGTTGTATTTTTTCATTGGTTTCTATGGTGGTGGGTGTGACTTATGTTATGGCGATTCCGTTTGTTTATAATCGTTTGTATGAGGTTACATAGTTGGTTTTGCATAATTTATGGTATTGCATTGGTATGGAGGAACTAGATCCCCTCAAAAAGGTCGACCTAACGGAGTAAGTCAATCAGGGCCGTGCTCGTGGCAGGGGACCCACGATGTTATAGAATTCGCGCTGGTCCTCGTACTGAAGACAAAGGCAGATGATGTGTTGTGCCCCTTTACCACGCTTCAGTTGTATCTTCATTGACTTTCCATATAAACGTATCTCTTAACTGAATCCATGCAACTGTCCAGGATTGCTCTGGAAAACCAGCTCTTCAGGTCCTTCGCTGGGAAGTTGCGGTTGAACCTGGGAGCTTCCCTTACTAATTATGTGAGATTATCTGCCTCGACATTACCAGTGCCCAAGTATTCAGATGAACGCGGTATTTACGGGAGAATGCTTCTGGATACCCTGGATCCACGGGTGTTTGCAAAGGTCCGACTCAAGGGCTTCGACGACGCTTGCAGAATCGGTGAATAGCAATCGACTTGTCCATAGAACTTCCTGTCGATTTCCTAGGAGCTAATATCAAAACTCAATTGAAATACTCTTTAAAATGTTCTTGAATTTTTAAAATCATTTCAATGAGCTTCTTTTCAAAAGTTTCCTTAGAATGTTTCCAGAAGTTCTTTGATAATTTTCTTAGAAGTCTCTTGGAATCTTCCTCATGACACGCAAGAAACTATCTTTCTAATTGGAATCCACCTCAGAATCAGGGTTGTGCAGTTTCGAAACAAAGACAAGTAAATGAACTTTCCGCAAAATCGCTTCATTTCAAGCAATATCATTTTCTTGTTATCGAGTCACGATGAACATTCCTCCTGTGAATAATGACTTGGCTATCGCTTGTTGATGGATATTTGACAGTATATCCCACTTTTTCTTAAACAGGAAGCCGCCATATTTGATTTAAAAATAGCGTCGCAAATCAATTTTCGCTCTCTAGACGTGACCCCAATTCCAAAAATACCCATATTGATGGGTCGGCATCAGTATTTCCTTCTTTTTCGGAAATCGGAAGCCGCCATTTTGGATTTCAAAATGGCGTCGGATATCAATTTTCAGCCTCTAGACGATAGACACCGATTAAAAAAATACCCATATTGATGAGTATTTTACAGTATTTCCCACTTTCTTTAAACTGGAAGCCTCCTTCTTGGATTTTAAAATGTCGTGGTATGTCAATTTTCGATCTTTAGACGTCACCCCAATTCCAAAAATACCCATATTGATGGGTAAACAAATCGCCCGACAATGATAAATTTGACGTAACGTAACGGAACGTAAGTTCATTTGACAATGAAAGACAAAATGAACACGAGTCAAGCCAAAACAAACAGTAGGAAAACTGATCGAAAGTGGTTCTGTTGATGTTTAAGGGGATTTGCTCGAAGAGAAGATAGAATGACTTTCAATTGTAAGTGATGGTTGACAGCTTTGTCGTCGCTTGACGATTTTCGATTGAAAGTGACTTTGTTGGGCCCTGCTAGGAATCCGTTTGAAACTATTATCAGATTGAGTTTCCCTTGTATTTCATATTAGAAATCTTTTGGGACTGTTTTTGGGATGCCCTCGGTTTGAAATACTCATTAGAAGTGCTGGTTTTTGATTTTTTTATTTCTCTAGATTTTATGATAAGATGCTGTTATAATTTAAATTGCAATTCCGTTCGAATTTTCCCAAAATTTAGTCAGCTTAGTTTAGTCAGCTTGCTGTATAATCCTAAGTAGATGTAATTCTTGTTTAAGTTTTTAAGTTTCGCTAAGTCCATCAAAATTACCTTCACTAGCCGTAGTAACTATTTAGATTTAAGCTAGATGTAACTAGGATTAACTAATTTAACTTTCTATAGTAATTTTTCACCCGCGTGTATCTGGTTCAATTCATTCTTTTTCGTTCCTGCAGACTGACGTTTCGACACAGAGAGTTTGTCGCGCGTAGACTCGCCGCTCGTGTCGTGATGTTCAGACGGCCGGGTTGCCAATTCAAAACGTTCAATCAGGCGATGTCCCTGTGCTAACATCCTCCCCCGAGTGCGGTCCACAGGCCTCAATGACCGCACTGCTACTTGAAACATCGAGTATCACCAGTTTCGATACCGGCCGACGAAGAACTCCCCCCGCAGTCTTGATCATAGCCTGGCGCACGTGACCATCCGGTGCTCTGATCGACTCAATCACGATCCCGCGCGAGTCCAGCCATTCCGCTGGCCCTCATCCGCTATCAACACCAAGTCTCCATCTTGCACGCACCGGACTTCATCGTACCACTTGGTCTGCCTCCTCATCACCGGCAAGTACTCCTTCAGCCAGCGTTGCCAGAATCGGTTGAGCTGCCGCTGGATGTGGTTCCACAAGTCCCGAGAAACCCCCTGTTGAGGCTCGATACACACGCTTGGCTGTTTGACCCCGTTAGAGCTCCCCAGCAGGAAATGGTTCGGAGTAAGCGATTCAGATTCCGCAGAATCTGTAAGTACGTGAGTGATCTAGTATTCACAATGCCCTCTGCCTCCACGATCACGGTCTGCAGCTCTTCATCGTTGAGTTTTCCTTCGCGATACGCATCCCCTATCGCCGCCTTCACTGAACGGACGAGTCGCTCCCATGCACCGCCCATGTGCGGAGTGCTTGGCGGAATGAAGGTCCACTTCGTGTTGGCACTGGTGAACGTTGCTGTTACTCCTTCGTCGATCTGCTCACGAAGCTGTCATTCAGCCCCGTGGAAGTTCGTAGCGTTATCACTGAAGAACTCCACAGGCGATCCTCGGCGGCAGACAAAACTTCGTATGCAGGAAATACACGACGCAGCTGACAGGCTGTATGCCACTTCGAGGTGAACGTCAAGCAGTCAAGCAAGTGAAGAGCGCAATCCACCTTTTTACATTCGAGCGGCCCTGCTTGACTAACAATGGGCCGAAGTAGTCCACTCCTACGTAACTGAATGGACGGTCGTGTATGGCCAACCGTGCTGGTGGCAGTGATGCCATCGGAGGAATAGTCGGAAGTGCCTTACGAATTTTGCAGAATTGGCAGCTTCGTCCGATCTGCTTTACCACCGATCGCAGTTTCGGTATGATGAACAGCTGGCGGACTTCGTTCACTACCGTTTCGGAGTTTGCATGACGGTAGAGCCGATGATAGCGTGCGACCAGAAGTTCCGTGCACCGATGCTTTCTTGGCACGATTACTGGAAAGCGCACGCTGTGATGAATATCCTTCGCCGCTGCAATCCGGCTGTTTTGACGCATCAAACCCCGTTCATCCATCATTGGCATCAGTTGGTAAACGATGCTCGATCTGTCAATCGATTCCTTCTTGTCTTCCGGTAGTACTTGATTATTCTTCAGCGTCGTTACCTCATCTGCAAAAGGTTTCTCTTTGGACCTGCTTCAGAACTTCATTTTCGGCATCATCCAGCTTCTGTTGAGCTAATCGACCACTGCGTTTTTCTCCCTTCTTGGTTACGTTGAAAATGAATCGTAGCACGTAAGCCATACTACGCTGCAACCTCTCCCATTTAGAGAACCGCTCGTAGGCGATCACAGGTTCCCAAGTGGTGTGAAAGAGTACTGATGATCAAACTTCTACGGCCGTATCCACGACTAGATCCGTAGAATTCGGCCATTCATGTTCCGGGAAGCGCAAGAACTCCGGTCCGTTGAACCACTTGCTGTCGCTACTGAAGTAGGGTCCACTTCTCCACTTTGTTGCCTCATCTGCTGCGTTAGGCTCCGACGGAACCCATTTCCACTCATCGACTGTTGTATTTTCGAGAATTTCGCCGACCCGGTTGGCCACCAACGGTCGATAGTTCCTCGGATCTGCGCGGATCCACGAAAGTGCAACGGAGCTGTCCGTCCACAGGACTCGTCTTCTGATGGTAATGGAGTGGTTGGCTTGCACGAACTTCATCATTCTTGTTCCCAGGAGACATCCTTGAAGTTCCAGCTTCGGTATAGTCATTGACTTGAGTGGTGCTACTTTCGCCTTCGCAGCGATCAGTGTGCACTGGGGTGTGCCGTCAGCGGTGATTGTCCTCAGGTACAGCGCACAGGAATACGCAAGCGGATTGGCATCTACGAAGACATGAAGTTCAGTAACTTCATACGAACGTGCTGACGCTTCTGGGAAATAGCAGCGAGGAATGCGAACGTTCGCGATGTACGAAATCATCTTGATCCACCTGCACCAGTCTTCATACTGATTTCCGCCGACTTCTTCATCCCATGCGGTTCCAGCGCGCCACAAGTCCTGCACCAGAATCTTGCCGTGGATCAGAAATGTGGCCAATAAACTCAACGGGTTGAACAGAGTCATGACGCAGCGTAACACTTGCCTCTTCGTTGGGATTCTGTCATTTTCGAGGAGAGATTGAACTTCATCGCTCATTCGAGTGCTGAACGATAGTTCGTCCGTTACTGGGTCCCACAACATTCCGAGCACACGTTCAGTAGTGGTGCTCGTAGTTATCAAGCTTTTACTGGTAGCTGCTTGAGTCTCCCCAAGGTGCTCCAGAACACCTTCGTTGTTCGAGATCCAGTTCCTCAATTCGAACCCACCGTTCCGGAAAATCTGACGTACTTCCTCAGAAATACGAAGAGCTTCTTCTTCCGACCCAAAGCTATCGAGGTAATCGTCCACGTACGTGCTCTGAAGTATTCCTTCCGCTGCTCTGGGATATCGAACACTGTGCTCCCGAGCGTTCGTATTTTTCACGAATTGTGCCGACGCTTATGAGCATGTCGACCCAAACGTTGCAACATCTACCAGGAATATTTCCGGGTCCTGACTTGGATCCAAACGCCACAGGATTCGCTGAGAATGCTTGGCAGCCGCACGCATCAAAATCTGCGAGAACATTTCCTTCACGTCAGAACACACCGCAATCTTGAACTGCCGGAAGCGGCACAATACTCCTAACAGCGACACCAACTGGTCCGGCCCTTTTAGCAGCATGCTGTTTAGCGAAACTCCGTCCACTTTGGCAGCAGCGTCCCAAACGATGCGTATTTTCCCTGGTTTCTTCGAGTTGGTCATAACCCCCAAAGGGAGGTACCAGATTCTGCGAGGATTCGCATCAGAACTACACTGAAGTTCTGCTCAGAATTACTTTGAACTTCTCCTGAGAACTACTCTAAAGGTCTCCTCAGCACTACTCTGAAGTTCTCCTCAAACTTACTCTAAAACTCTTGACAGAACTACTTGGAAGTTCTCCTCAGAATTACTCTGAAATTTTCCTCAGAATTACTTTGAAATTTTCCTCAGAACTACTCTGAAGTTCTCCTCAGAATTATTTTGAACTTCTCCTCAGAACTACTCTGAGGTTCTCATCAGAATTACTGTGGACTTCTCTTCAGAACTACTCTGAAATTTTCCTCAGAAATACTCCAAAGGTCTCCTCAGAACTACTCTGAAGTTCTCCTCAAACTTACTCTAAAACTCTTCACAGAACTACTCTGAGGTTCTCCTCAGAATAACTCTGAAGTTCTCCTCAAACTTACTCTAAAACTCTTCACAGAACTACTCTGAGGTTCTCCTCAGAATTACTCTGAAGTTCTCCTCAAACTTACACTGAAACTCTCCACAGAAGTACTCTGAAGTTCTCGTCATAACTACTCTGAAGTTCTCGTCATAACTACTCTGAAGGTCTGCTGAGAACTACTCTGAAGTTCTCCTTAGAATTACTTTGAACTTGTCCTCAGAATTACTCTGAAATTTTCCTCAGAATTACGCTGAAGTTCTCCTCAGAACTACTCTGAAGGTCTGCTCAGAACTACTCTGAAGTTCTCCTCAGACTTACTCTGAAACTCTCCACTAAAATACTCTGAAGTTCTCCTCAGAATTACTTTCTTCAGAATTACGCTAAAGATCTCTTCAGAACTACTTTGAACTTCTCCTCAGAATTACTGTGAACTTCTCTTCAGAACTACTTTGAAGTTATCATCAGAACTACTTTGAAGTTCTCTTCAGAGCTACTCTGAAACTCTCCACAGAACTACTTTGAAGTTCTCATCAGAACTACCCCGAAGTTCTCCTCAGAATTACTTTGAACTTCTCCTGAGAACTACTATGAAGGTCTGCTCAGAACTACTCTGAAGTTCTCCTTAGACTTACTCTGAAGCTCTCCACAAAAATACTTTGAAGTACTCCTCAGAATTACTCTGAAATTTTCCTCAGAATTACGCTAAAGTTCTCTTCAATACTACTTTGCACTTCTCCTTAGAATTATTTTGAACTTTTCCTCAGAACTACTCTGAGGTTCTCATCAGAATTACTGTGGACTTCTCTTCAGAACTACTCTGAAATTTTCCTCAGAAATACGCTGAAGTCTTCATCAGAACTACTCCAAAGGTCTCCTCAGAACTACTCTGAAGTTCTCCTCAAACTTACTCTAAAACTCTTCACAGAACTACTCTGAGGTTCTCCTCAGAATAACTCTGAAGTTCTCCTCAAACTTACTCTAAAACTCTTCACAGAACTACTCTGAGGTTCTCCTCAGAATTACTCTGAATTTCTCCTCAAACTTACACTGAAACTCTCCACAGAAGTACTCTGAAGTTCTCGTCATAACTACTCTGAAGTTCTCGTCATAACTACTCTGAAGGTCTGCTGAGAACTACTCTGAAGTTCTCCTTAGAATTACTTTGAACTTTTCCTCAGAATTACTCTGAAATTTTCCTCAGAATTACTCTGAAGTTCTCCTCAGAGTTCCTTTGAAGCTCTACTCAGAATTATGTTTGAAATTTTCCTCAGAACTACTCTGAAGTTCTCCTCAGAATTATTTTGAATTTTTTTTTCAGAATTACGCTAAAGATCTCTTCAGTACTACTTTGAACTTCTCCTCAGAATTACTGCGAACTTCTCTTCAGAGCTATTTTGAAATTTTCCTCAGAAATAACGCTGAAGTTCTTATCAGAATTACTTTAAACGTCTCTTCAGAACTACTCTGAAGTTCTCCTAAAAATTACTTTGAACTTTTCCTCAGAACTACTCTGAAATTTTCCTCAGAATTACGCTGAAGTTCTCCTCAGAACTACTCTGAAGGTCTCCTCAGAACTACTCTGAAGTTCTCCTCAGAATTACTCTGAAGTTCTCATCATAACAACTCTGAAGGTCTGCTCAGAACTACTCTGAAGTTCTCCTTAGACTTACTCTGAAGCTCTCCACAAGAATACTCTGAAGTTCTCCTCCGAATTACTCTGAAATTTTCCTCAGAATTACGCTAACGTTCTCTTCAATACTACTTTGCACTTCTCATCAGAATTACTTTGAACTTTTCCTCAGAACTACTTTGAAATTTTCCTCAAAATTACGCTGAAGTTCTCCTCAGAACTACTTTGAACTTCTCCTCAGAACTACTCTGAAACATTTCTCAGAATTACGCTGCAGTTCTCATCAGAATTACTTTGAAGATCTCCTCAGAGTTCCTTTGAAGCTCTACTCAGAATTATGTTTGAAATTTTCCTCAGAACTACTCTGAAGTTCTCCTCAGAATTATTTTGAACTGAGAACTACTCTGAAGTTCTTCTAAAACTTAGGAGAAACTCTCCTCAAAAATACTCTGAAGTTCTCCAAAAACATACTCTGAAACTCTCCATAGAAATACTCCTCAGAATATCTCTAAAATTTTCCTCAGAATTACGCTGAAGTTCTCCTTAGAACTACTTTGAAGTTCTCCTCAGATTTTTTCAACTTCTACTGAGAACTACTCTGAACGTCTCCTCAGAACTACTCTGAAGGTCTCCTCAGAAAAACTCTGAACCTCTTCTCAGAACTACTCTGAAGGTCTGTGCAGAACGACTCTGAAGTTCTCCTCAGATCTACTCAGAAACTCTCCACAGAAATACTCTGAAGTTTTCCTCAGAATTACTCTGAAATTTTCCTCAGAATTACGCTGAAGTTCTTCTCAGAATTTCTTAGACCTTATCCTTAGAACTACTCTGAAGTTCTCCTCAGAATTACTTTGAACTTCTCTGATATTTTTCTGAGAACTACTTTGTAGTTCTTCTCAGAATTACTTTGAACGTTTCCTCAGAACTACTTTGAAGTTCTCCTCATAATTACTTTGAACTTTTTCTCAAAACTACTCTGAAGTTCTCCACAGAACTACTGTAAAGTTCTCCTCAAAACCACTTAGAAGTTGTCCTCAGAATTACTTTGAACTTTTCCTCAAAAGTAGTCTGAAGTTCTTCACAGAACTACTCTGAAGGTCTCCCCAGAACTGCTATGAAGTTCTCCTCAGAATTACTCTGAAACTCTCGACAGA